AACTTCGTGGAACACACGTATACTGGAGGCGACAACTCAATTGAAGCTCCGTTCTTCAACCTCATCGATGACTTGGGCTTATATGAAAATGTGGGGTCGGCAACTCATTGGAGAAACAGTCAGACACCATCGCGGTTAGACTGTGTATTCACAAACGAAGAATTCCTAGTTGACAACCTCTCAATACTGGATCCTCTGGGAAAGAGCGATCATGCCGTCATAGCCTTCAGTTTTGTCACCAAAACTAAGCTAAGGTATCCCAACAATAATTTGCGTTGGAATTTTAAACGGCTGGATGTGCCAGCTCTACACGACTATCTACAACAGGTGGTTTGGGATGTTCACCCCCAACTCGATGTGGACGGTCACTGGAACTTCTTACTGCACACGCTCTTATGTGCTACAAACCATTCAGTTCCTCAAACCGTTCCCAAAAGCTGTAAGCCACCTACAGTAATCAAGAACCGTACCCTTCGCCTGCTAAGCCGTAAAGGGCACTGTTGGGCGGAATACAAACGAACTAATAACGACGGAGCGTATAGGCAATACGAAGATATCAGGAACATATGCACGAAGGCTATAAGAGAAGACAGGCTTCATTACCAGACAAAGCTTATGGACAAATTTGCCTCGAACCCTAGAAGCCTATTCCTTTATGCACCCTCTCTTCGTCAAGCCAAAACAGGAGTTTCTCAACTGCTAGGTCTTAACGGCCCGACCAACAACAATGGTGAAGCCGCTAACCTTCTGGCGGCACATTACTCTCAAACATTTCAGCCGGCTGACATTAACTTTATTGACGACAGTTTCATCTGTAATTCCACAGGGCTTTCCGAAGTGGACTTAAGCGCTGACTTGGTGTTCCGGAAACTGCAGCACTTAAGACTAGATACTTCTTCTGGCCCGGACATGGTTCATTCTGCCATACTGAGAGAGGCAGCCTCAATCCTGGCAACGCCGCTTAGCGTGATGTTTTCACACTCGCTAAGCCGAGGCAAACTACCGAAAAATTGGAAGTTGGCTCACATCACACCAATTTTCAAAGGGGGTCGACGCAATGAACCTTCAAGTTATCGGCCGGTGGCTCTTCCGTCATTACCTTCAAAACTCATGGAGTCCCTGATATGCGATGGTTTAAACGACTATCTACTGTCCTTACATTTCTTCTCACCCCAACAGCATGGTTTCAGGAAGGGTTACTCTTGTATAACCAACCTGCTGACTGCGGTGGACAGATGGACAAGCATCCTCGATCGCAAGGGAAAGGTTGATATCATATACCTTGATTTCTCAAAAGCTATTGATAAAGTTAACCACTTGTGTCTTATCAATAAGCTCAAACGACTAGGTATCAAACCACCTCTAATCGATTGGCTTACTTCATACCTAGAAAATCGAAACTTTAAGGTTAGGGTTAATTTCACTTTATCTCAGGCTATGGAATGTTCTAGTGGGGTCCCCCAGGGCTCAGTATCAGGGCCTCTTCTCTTCTTGATCTATATAAACGATCTTCCTCAACAGGTAACGTCAGACTTATTACTTTTTGCCGACGACGTGAAACTTTGGAGAGAGATACGCAACCAAGACGATACACAGGCACTTCAGGAGGATCTGACTCGACTTCAAAGTTGGGCAGATGATAACGGACTTACCTTTAACACTTCAAAGTGTAAAGTAGTCCCTCTGCGACATGTCGCAGACTACAGTTATAACTTAGGAAATTCCTCTCTAGTAGTATCCCAAGTCGAAAAAGATTTAGTAGTCCTGGTGCCCCATGATTTAAAGTCTTACGCTAATTGTGACAAAAATGCCTTCCGAGCAAACCTTGCACTGGTAACATTGAAGCGCATTTTTGGCCAGTTTGACGGAAGAACTTTCCATACAATCTTCAATAGTTTTATCCGTCCCCATTTAGAGTATGGAAATATAGTACTCCCCTCCTCACTCCAAAAGGACAAGGTCACTTTGGAGCGTATCCAACGGCGAGCCACGAAATCAGTTCGCGGACTCAAATCTAAGTTTTACGAAGAACGCCTCCACTCACAAACCTTTACCGATTAGTATATAGGCGTCTTAGAGGTGATTTATTAATGTCTTATAGTATTCTTAACACTTCTGGACATACTTTCAAACACACACTCATGCTTAGTTCGAATAATAACCTAAGGGATAACACCCAGAAACTGGAAACTCAACATAGCAAAACCGGATGTAGACACAACTTCTACTCCTTGAGAGTTGTCAAAAGCTGGAATTCGCTGCCGGCCGAGCTAGTCCAAGCGACTTCTCAGGAGTCCTACAAGAGGCAACTTGACCTATTCTTAAGGACCAAGGACAGTATCATACTATGATTTACCAATTTCTTTTCCTCTTTTATTGTTAACATACTTAGGTTCCTGTCTGGAGGATTTGGTGATCCCCTGCTACCAGACACGAAAGCCTGTTAAGCGAAAGCTTCTTCTATTCCGTCCACAACCATTTGAACCATTATATTGCTTTCCGACCGAAGACAACAGGCAGTTGTTCATAAAAACATAGTTTATAGTACAATAAACCTTTCTACAGTAAAATCATACACTGACAGTCTAGCTGGAAACAATCAACTATGTGAATAAACTCACTATGACTTGAGATATCATCCCAGCTTGCAATGGACGTGCAGTGTAACGCAGTCGAACGTGGCGAATAAAAATATAAAAAAGATCAAAATTAGCTATATAATCTAGTTATTCAATTAAAAATACATTATGAAATGACAAAATCTGTGGTTACTTGAACGCACAGATGACCGATATATTAAGTTTACATGGTTGCGTTGCGGATAAGATCACGCGTGAACTTCTGGCTGATCTTTCAAAGCCTGATGAGAGTGTTGAGATAATCGTTGGAAATAGATTCTATGTAAATGAGGATACGCAAATTGAGAAACGATTTAAAAATATCATCAAGCAGCATTACAATGCACTGGCTGAGCATGTGAGTATGAATTCTGCCTTATCAAACTTTGTGTAGGTTGCGTTTCATAGAGATCCGGAATGTGCTCAAAATCGAATTAATCAGTGGGTTAGCGAACAGACCAACGGAACAATCCAAGAACTAATCCCACGAGAAGCTTTATCAGAAGGAACGTCAGCTGTCGTGCTATCCACTACATACTTTAAAGGTAGTATTATTTATTTAGTCGTCAACAATAGTATATTCAAATCAGACTTTTATTACCTGATTTTTTATTACTGTGTTTTATATCTGCTGTCAACTTTATGTGTGATTACCTTTGACAGGTTTATGGAATCTACCTTTCCCTTACGAGGATTCACACGACAGTGATTTCTTCAAACTTGACGGATCAACAATGAACGTGAAGTTAATGTATAATCTATCCTATTTCAGTATGGTCATCTTACCAGATTTGGAATCGCGAGCTATCAAGATACCGTTTATAGATCCGAAGTAAGTTTGATTATTAGTGTACCTCTTTTAAAATGTTTGTTTAGACCTGACCATGAAGCACTTACGGTGTTCTAATGCTTACATCTTGTTGAATGCCTTGTTTTGATTGCATAGTCTGATAACTGGATTACGAGCAACTCAATGACAGAGATGCCGCTTTAAATAATGCTAACCTAACTAAAGCTGACTGAAGTCACAAATAAATGGATAATTTACATCATATTCAACTTATGCATGTTGCCCCTCATGAAGGAGGATAGGCCTCCCACCATCATTCTCCATGTAACTCTGTCCTGAGCAATCTTTTCCAGTTGCTATTGATCCTTATGATTTGTGATTCCAATTTTCGACTCAGTGCGTTCTTTGACCTTCCTCTTTTCCGTTCCCCTTCAGGATTCCAAGTAAGCTCTTGCCTTGTGATGCAGTTTTATGATTTCCTCAATGTGTGTTGTATCCACTTCCAGCGGTTTTTCCTAATTTCCTCTTCAGCTGGAAGCTGGTTTGTCCTCTCCCACAATATGCTGTTGCTGATGGTATCCAGCCAATGGACATTGATGTTGGTTGACAGTTGTTTTGACTTCCATGTGTTCTTCAACTGTAGGAATGCTGTTCCTGTTTTGCCAATCCTCGCCAGTAAGTTTGCATCAGATCGTCCTTGTTCATCGATGACACCACCCAGATACGTGAATATTTCCACTCCTTCCAGAGTTTCTTCATCAAGTGTGATTGCGTTGGTGTTCTTTGTGTTGTATCTGAAGATGTTGCTTTTACCCTTGTGTATGTTGAGTCCTACTGATTGAGATGCTGCAGCTACACTATTTGTTTTAACCTGCATTTGTTGATGTGTATGGGATAGAAAGGCCAGGTCATCTGCAAAGTCCAAATATTCTAATTGATTTCGATTTGTCGATTCTATTCCGTGCCTCCCTTCAGATATCGATGTCTTTGTAATCCAGTCAACCATCAGAAGAAAGAGAGGAATGACGAGAGTACACAGCCTTGTCTGACTCTGATCCTCACTTGAAATGCGTCTGTCAGCCTTCTTCCATACAGAACATTCCATTGTTATCCATCGTGTGCATTTTGTATGTTGCATATTATTTCTACGTTTACACAATAATTTCGAAGAACTTTTCTATAGGTTCTTCTATCCGTACTATTAGTTTCTTTTTTATAATCAAGGCAAGTGTTGCATAGTGACAAATAACATTCAGTTGATTGTACAGCTCGGCTTTCGGAACACATTGCGTCGGATAATAGAAGCAGATATGAAAACGATGAATTACAACTGAACGGAGCTAGAAAGGATTGCCCAGGACCGGGTTGGATGGAGAATGCTGGTGAGCGGCCTATGCGTAAGTAAGTAAGTAAGTGATTGTACAGCTAATGACGTGATCTTATTTTCTTTTACCATGTTCTTGTTTAGTAAGTTTCACCTACTTTCTATAAACATCTCATTCAACGACCATATTTCATGAATTTAGTAGATACACACAATTCACTAGAAATAGTCTTAGAATATCACCTTGTTATCATTAACCAAATTTATTTCAAGTGTATTGATATAAATACAAAAATGAAAGATAATCCATTCTATTGAATGAAGATAAAGAATAGCCCATCAACTAAATGATTGAAAGAACAACATCAAACTGATTGGTTCTTCAATTGAATCTATTGGAAACATGATTCATGTAATTGAGTATATTGACGGTAAACTGACACGAATTTGACATATAGTTCCTGCTCTACAAATAAAACTACAATTCAGTAGAAAATCAACATGATTACGTAATTATAGTCATTGATAGCATGGTAGGTGAAAATAATGCTTCATAGTATTGTGGTCTGTTGTTTCAAAGTATAGACGTTGTTCAGTTAGATGGGTAAAATATGAGTATGGAACGGACGAGGTATGGTTCAGTTGAACAGTATTTTTCATTTATTATTCATTGGAACAATTTAATGATATGGGAACAAGGACTCGTACTTCATCCTATTTCGGACACTTTTGTAGTGTGGAGTCGAGTAGAAATCGACTATAAACACCGCTACCAAGAAACGCGTGCCAAATGACTCCATAAAATCCTCCGGAAGTCAAATATCAGAAGGCAGTTGATGAACCAAATCGAGGTATATTTGCTGGCGATCTCGTGGTATCGAAAGGATACCGAGATCGTGCCAGGATACAAGCTTGGTTACAGAACGTAACCGAATTCGCGCGAAGTCACAATCAAAGTGTAAGAATAATGGATGTTTTTAGCACAGTTAAACAAAAGCACATTAAAACAGTCACTGGTACAATTGGTTATAACAATAATTTTTTTCAATAAACCAATCGTGTTCTCGTGATAAAAGTGAGTCACTACAGGAGCCCCACGCTAGAAAGGGTTTACACTTTCGATAAGTAGCGGTTTAAATCGTGGGACTGATCGGCTGACGAGCGATTGTAGGACGGAAGAATTGGCGAACAGGAATGCGATCGTTGATCGTCGAGTTGCCAATGAAGGTGTTTTTGGAGAACGGTACCAGGAGCGATGTGCTGTATTTGTTGCTTCAGTTGGCATACTACGCCAAAGTGGTTTGTATCCAGAATCTTAAGATTGCGTTCGTAAGGGATGCGGACCAGAAACGCTGCAAATGTAGGACGAAACCACATTGAGCCGATGAACCAGTAACGATCATAACGACCAAGTTCGAGAACAAGCGTATGCCAAACATTCGAAACCAAAATATCGACTGAGTGCGTTGACAAGAGCGTGAGTGGCCAATCCAGCTTTCGCTAAAGTTGACTGAAGTCGACGGAACCAAACGGAAATGATCGAAGGCGTGGGCTCATGAAACAAAAAGAAGATCAAAAAAGAGAAGAGTGTAGTATGCATGTAGTATAGGAATAATCATACACCGTATCGGTTGTTCACTGTGCGATTAGTCGCGGAAGCGTACGGGCAACCGCAATCGGCGACCGGAACGTGAGACGGTAGTCTCGTTCGTATTTCGTGAGCCTGCAATCTCATTCGAGGTCAGAGGCGGCGTGGTCTGCCGATCTGGACGTGAGACTGCCGTCTCGTCCGTAGATAGTGCAGATAATGCGTGCTGTTGACCGGGACGTGAGAATGGGGTCTCGGATGCATCTAGCGCGGGATCTGAATAAGACTTAAGGATCCCGCTAGGTATGATAGGTCTAGCATTGAATCTCAGGTTATCACATAGGGCACTGTCATTGACGTGTGCTGTTTTGAGACGATCAACGCTGACGATCTCGACGCGGCCATGTCGATCAACCTTGAAGGTTTTTTCGTGACGAGCGATCACGCAAAAAGGGCCTTCGTAAGGTTGTTGCAAAGCTTAGCATACCGAATCTACTCGTATGAAAACATGTGAACAGGTACATAACTCAAGGGAGAGCAACCTGTCGATGTTGTATTCGAGTTGACACCGGAGACAGCGTTCACATAAATACAGACAGTCGATGGACGTAGTCTGATTTACCGAAATTAGGTCTGCTACGTGGTGTGAAGAATTCTCCGGACAGACGCAATGTCGTGCCGTATACAAGTTCAGCGGCGGAACATTGGATATCTGCCTTTAAGCTTGTTCTGATCCCTAAAAGAATGAGTGGTTAGGTTTCGTGCCAGTTGGCGTTCTCGTGTGCTCGTAGAGCACTTTTCAGTTGGCAGTGAAACCTTTTAACTTAACCATTTGGTGCTGGGTGGTATGCGTATGCATACCATACCAAGCAGCCGTGTCAGCGAGGAGAATAGTTAATAGGGTAAAATTTCTCGAATAAAGCGTGGGATTCAAAGTCACGCGAATAAAAAGTGACAAGGATTCGGTACACATACATTGGAGTCTACTATATTAATACTATTCTTATCGTTATCCGTCATGTCGAGTATATTATATATTAAAAGATAATATGAAAATATACGACAGACGTGGATAGATAAACAATAAACTCACCAAATCGGCTTCTTTGGAAGGTTTGACCAGAGGTTGAGGCGTGTTCCGGAATTCGGATCACCAGTTGTAGCGTGGTGTCGAGTAGAGATTAACTATAAACACCGCTACCAAGAAACGCGAGCCAAATGACTCCATAAAATCCCCCGGAAGCCAAATATCAGAAGGCAGTTAATAGACCAAATCGAGGTATATTTGCTGGCGATCGCGTGGTATCGAAAGGATACCGAGATCGTGCCAGGATACAAGCTTGGTTACAGAACGTAACCGAATTCGCGCGAAGTCACAATCAAAGTGTAAGAATAATGGATGTTTTTAGCACAGTTAAACAAAAGCACATTAAAACAGTCACTGGTACAATTGGTTATAACAATAATTTTTTTCAATAAACCAATCGTGTTCTCGTGATAAAAGTGAGTCACTACACTTTAAATGGATGTACCTACATCCCACGGTTGATGTTCACTCTGAGACTCCAACTCAGTACCGTTAGCTGAGATGTAGGTACATCCAGCTGACTAGTTCGAAATGAATGGGACGCGCGATTCTGTAAATCCCTACCGTCCGCAACCCTCTCCCATTTTTCATTTATCAACACATTATTAGTAAGAGTGAAGAATGTGACTTACTTTATTGATATTAATTGGTAGTATCTCTGTAAGCATTAATTTTAAAAATGGTTTAGCACATGCAAGATGTTTAGAACTAATCCATTGAAGATTTGCCTAAAAACCAAAAACAGTACTGCACAGAACAAAATACATAATAGTAACATTTTATTATTATAGGATTATAGAGATTGTTGTATTTTATGAGTATTATGGAGCGATATAATTTGGACTACTTTAAAAAACAAGAACAAAAGTGGAGACAATCAAGTGTATTGCAGACTCTATTAGTAAAGTCTGAGAATCATGCAGTAAATAGTTCAATTACAGAATGTTAATTAATCGTCTCAGATTTCATTGTCTTTTCGACCTCACACCAATCATTCTTTGTTCTCGTTCTCTTTTCTTTGATCTTCTTAACATTCTTCCTCCAGGCATTTCACTTTTGATTGATGATACATACCGCATATCTGTCGACATCGACCAGTATTCTCCAACCCACTATGTACTGGACTTTCCTTTCTAGTTCTATCCAATATTCGTTCATTTTTTAATGTCTATCTCCATTTCTCGGTGTAATGTATTATTTGGTCTTCCTCTTCTCCCTTGGCGTAGAGGGTTCCATGTGGGCGCTTGTCATGTGATGCAGTTGGGTGTTTTCCTCAATCTGTATCCTATCCACTTCCAGCGCTTCTTTCTGCGCTGCAATCTGGTTTGCTCTCTCCCACAGTAGGTTGTTGTTGATAGTGTCCGACCGATGGATTGGAAGTCTTTTGTGTAGACAACTGTTGATAAACACATGTATTCTGGATGATGGCTTTTGTGGTTCTCCAAGTTTCCACCCTATGCAGTAGAACTGTCTTGACATTTGCATTGAAAATTATGACTTTGGTGTTAGTTGAGATTTATTGTGAGTTCCAGATGTTCTTCAATTGTATATATACTGCCCTTGGTTTGCCGATCCTCTGCTTCATATCTGCATCAGATCCACTGTGTTCATGAATGACGCTGCTCAGATATGTAAAGGTTTTAACATCTTCCAAACCTTCTCCATCAAGTATGATTCGATTGATGAATGCTGTGTTGTATTGGAGAATCTTGATTTTCCCTTTATTTATGTTGAGATCTACTGCTTCTGTGGCTAAACATGGCCATAACTCCATTTCTGAACTTCACTACAAATATCCAAACAATTACCTTACTATTATGAACAGTATATTTATTCAATAAGTATAAATTTACATAAGTTTGTGAATCCCAATCAACGGAGAAGATATTGTTGAACAGATCCAGAAAACACTTAGAGAAAAGATGCCAAAAAAGGCTCTGAGAATATTGAGAAGCATCTTATCCAATTAGCATTCACTTGAAGTTTTCCCAGAATTATCTAGAAATTGAAATGTCACATGTCGAGTTTGGGATTGGATGATTATATATACCGCTTCTAGGTTTAGTAGCGTTCCAGAATTTCCCGGATACCCTAGGACATTTACAATACTATAAAGCCCTAGATTTTCTGTAGGTAAACGAACCTTTGGAGTAAAGCGTTTTTCCCATATTTCGCACATTTTTTCTCGTGTTTAAGTCACTGTGTAAATTTAGCCTGGCGGTTACTAGAAGAGCTTAGGGAACTGAATCTAACGTTCAATTAGAAAACTTATGAATGGCGACGGGAAAAACTATAATGAATATTTCTTTGGAGAGACTATATAATTATATGGAGCGTTAAGAGAAGCGCTTTGAACAGTCTCAAATCAAAATCATAAATGCCGAATCTAACGTTCAATTCGAAGACTTATCAGATAATGAACCTTCCCTCTAGTCCACACTAATCTCATATTAACATGAAACAACTGTTACAAAGTTCTGTACTTAGTGATATGAACAATACAACCTATTGTTAAGGATCATTAGTTATAATGTATGTGAAAACTTACCAGATAGTTACTGCAATTGTAAAAATGATATTCCATATTACGTATTTTCCATGTATTCATCAAATTCAACAACTGACTATTTAATGAAATCGTCGTTATTAAGAAATGAAATACAGTTGTATATGTTGTTGACACATTGTTCATAACAGTTTGACAATCATACGTAAATGGGTCACAAAAGTTTGATAGACAACAAGCCTTTAAATCACATCGAAATCTTCCATTTTGATGATAGAAAATAGATTTAAGTAGGCTATTCAAGTATTGTAGACCTCGATCACCATCAAATAAGATCACAATGGGAATTTTATTTTCCTAAAACAAAGAAATTATCAGAAGGGTTTTTGTGAATTTTATAGTAATTTCAATAGTTGAGATAATGAGTCCATTGAAGTCAGACCACCATGGAAAACCTGAGCGGCTCAGGGGCCTAGTGCTAGGTCCGAATCTCGCGAGGTAGGATTGTAGATGAGCACTGCTGGAAAGTCCCATACTAGGACGAAACGGCCATCCAGCTCTTTCAGGTTTCTCATGGTTATTTAGCTTTAATTAACTCATAAATTCAACTATCACTTTAGTAAAAAAAACTTCACAAAACCTTCTGATAATAAATTGACTGTATAAATTAATTGAACTAGTTAAAAGTACACGTTAGTATTTTGATCACAATTTAGAAGTGTACTACGACTACTACTACTACTACTACTACTTGATAGTATAAGACGGTGAGATATTGTCTTGTTTCTAGGTTCCAATACATTAATGATGTGAATTTTTATCTATAAATAAGAAAAAATTTAATGGTTGAATTCATGAGTCGATTTAAGCTAGACTACCATTGAAAACCCAGAAGCATTGGACGGTCGTTTCGTCCTACTATGGAACTCTTCAGCAATGTGCATCCACGATCCTACTCACAGGACTCGACCTGGGACATTCAGTCTCACGTGCGAACGACTAACCTCTAGACCACTGAGCTTGCATCCAACCTTACTAATATCTAACTTCAACCAATCAACGAAATTGCCATCATCAATGGAACCAATCAACGTCAGGTAGAGACAGATATCTACCTCGGACAATGGAAAATGGTCGAGCATTTTCGTGGATTGGTTGAAGTTAGACATGAACACAGTTGGATACGAGCTCAGTGGTCTAGAGTTTAAGCATTCACTTGCGAAGCCAAATGTCCTAGGCTCGAGTCCCGGGTTTGAGATTGTAGATGTGCACTAGTGGAAAGTTCCATACTAAAACGAAACGGCCATCCAATACTTCTAGGTTTTTCCTTGTTAGTCTAGCTTCAATTGATTCATGATCTGAACTATTGAAATTACTATAATATTCATAAGTATCCCTCTCTGATGATAAACATATTTTTATTAACTATTACTTTATCATAATATAACTTACCATGGATTTCATTGTAGTTAGTTGAATAAGTTGTAAAATCCACATTCCAATAAGTGAAATGAATTGCATTATATATAAATAAACAGAATATCATAATGAATGATAATAAGACTTTATTATTAAATTGATATTCTTTAATATGATTCATTGTTTTAATGTATCTATTAGGTTCAAACCAATCTGTAAACTATTCGATCATCTTTAATAATATATAAGTTGAACCAATTAAAGTAGGATCAGTTACCATGATTGATGTAATTATCACTAAGATACTTGTTACCAATCACGTAATTGTAAAATTTCAAATGTTACTTTATATTCATTATAGTTTCTTTGATTGGTTAGAGATTGTAGTAAGTTATTAATTGATATCATGAATCATTTAAAGCTAAGCCACGATGAAAAAACATAGAAACACTGGATGGCCGTTTCTTCCTAGTATGGAACTCCTCAGATGTGCACATCAACGACCCCGCCCCGGAAGCTTCTAACCCAGGACCTATCATTCTTGGGGGCGAAAGCTTAACCTCTAAAGCACTAAGCCAGCTGGCATCCATAGGTGTTAATGTCTGACTTTAACTAATCCACGAAATTGATCGACACATCCAATATTGTCATCAGTGAGTTGCTATCTCACAACAGACCGGGTTGAACTTCACTGATTATGGCTTTCCACTAGAACTCCTGGAAACACCTCTTGAAGCCAGGCATTAGTGAGCATATGATGATTATAATGAACATATTTACTGAAAGATAAATAATAATCTGTCGATGAAAATATTTTTTCTCTTATCATAGTGACTAACTTTAAATTATCGAGTGTTAAGTGATTGTATTTCACTGATATAGAGATTAACTTCGTATTGTTTTACATGAATCTTCCCATTGATGATTAGGGCTGCAATTGATCAGTATCCCATTGGTACATTCAACTGACGGGTCCCGGGCAGGACACTGTTAGCCACGTAGAGTTTATGTTCAGAACTTTCTAGTGGAGTTATAAACGATCGGCCACTGGTAGTGTTTACGATCTACGCCTCCTAAACTAGCATGATTTAACTAACAGTTACTTTCGCGTATGCATTAATTCAAGACTCACTTACTTACGCCTGTTACCCCTTGTCTAAGAGCATTGGCCGCTCACCGGCACTCTTCATCCAACCCCGTTCTGCAGCATTTCTACAACTACTTCCAGTCCCAAATCCGGGTAAAGGAGAACGGTTGGGTATGGAGTCGGCGACCTCATCCCGTTGAAAAAGATCTTGTTGAAAAAAGGCCAATCTGATTAAAGAAATTATTTCAAGACTACATGAAAATAATTAATTTCGATCATACAAAACCTATTTGTTTAACTATATGTTTAACATTCAATTCTGCTACAAAATATCATGGAATCAAATTAATAAACGGAATATAAAGTTTATTTTTCATCATTGATTGATAAAACAGAATAATGAATGTAGAGAAACTAAAATCGATGGTATTATTTGATCTCAAAACGCCGATATTGATATTCGTTCACAATAAATGGTCCTGAGTTTGCTTCTTGATATGGTAGACACCCCCAAGTGCCCTGGTATGGCCGAAAGTGGGGAGAGTCAGCTCTTCTTCTCGAAATACTCTCTTATAGCCACGCGTATACAGCTTTGCCAGGAAAATCTTACTCACTGAATTCTAGTGGTGGGGATTTTGTTTACGAAATTGAGAGGACGAAATACGAATGTTCAGCACTTGAGCCGTTTTGGTGAACACGGAAGATCCATCTAGGGGAGTTGGAAAATCCTGATTCCAAACAAATGGTGCACATAGGCTCCAGCATCCTGAAGGAACAAATGACGTATGAACCTATTGTTGGTCACCGGCTATCATGGGACTGCATCTTCTGACGTTGCTTCACTGCACTGTAGATCAGACCTTCAGGTCGAAGGCTTCGGGCGTGACCCTATGAGATAACCACCCGCTTCAGTTTGGGCACTGTGGCAATATCACAACCTGCACACAAAGCAAGTTAGTTGTGTGGCGCATATGTACTCGATAACCCTTTTGTACCAATATTTATGTGTTCAAATAAATAAATAAATTGTGTTACAGAGTTAAAATAAAGTTTCACTGTTGTTCTTGATTATATCATCAAAGCTGGTTGTGAGTAGAAACCTCCACATAAAGTAAGCTTTGATGATGTTTGCCCAGAATGATGATGAAGTCATTGTAAGCTTTATTGTATTACAATATTTAATGTGATTCATAAACATTAGATAATAATTCAAAATCCTTCAATAAATTCTGAAAGAATCTAAGAAATTTGATAAATTTCATCCTAGGATGGAACTCCTCAACAGTTCACATCCACGATCCTGGGTTCAAATATTGCGGGGCGGGATTCTAGATTTTCCATGGTGACCAAGCTTCAATTAGCTCATGAATTCAACTATAAGAATTCCATTCAAAAAACATTTTGAAATCCCACAAAAAACGTTCATACAAATGATGGTCATTATGGTAGAATGAAGAAACACAAACCTCATTCTCAATGTCACATCATCAGGAGGAAAAACATAACAGACTTAGACTAAGCAAGGGAATTATTTATCTTTATCAGTATAGGGTTGTGGAGATTATTGATTGAGATCATAAACTGATTGATGTTAGACTACCATTGAAAAACTTGAAGCACTGGACGGCCGTTTCGTCCTATTTTGGGACTCCTCAGCAGTCCGGAAAAATAATTCATCAAAAGTAATTGGAATGAAGTATTAATGGTTTATTACAGCACAAACTTGTCTTTTATCATTATGTAGTTCATAATTATTAATGTAGAATATTACAGAATTAGTTAAATCTGTAATACGGATTGACTTTACTTAACTATTATCAATCCATGATTATAAACTACCAATTTATCTCATTATTGAAAAGTTTGAGTTGAATGTTACTTGTGGATTTATAGTAATTTCAATAGTTGAGATGAACACAGTTGGATACGAGCTCAGTGGTCTAGAGTTTAAGCATTCACTTGCGAAGCCAAATGTCCTAGGCTCGAGTCCCGGGTTTGAGATTGTAGATGTGCACTAGTGGAAAGTTCCATACTAGAACGAAACGGCCATCCAATACTTCTAGGTTTTTCCTTGTTAGTCTAGCTTCAATTGATTCATGATCTGAACTATTGAAATTACTATAATATTCATAAGTATCCCTCTCTGATGATAAACATATTTTAATTAACTATTACTTTATCATAATATAACTTACCATGGATTTCATTGTAGTTAGTTGAATAAGTTGTAAAATCCACATTCCAATAAGTGAAATGAATTGCATTATATATAAATAAACTGAATATCATAATGAATGATAATAAGACTTTATTATTAAATTGATATTCTTTAATATGATTCATTGTTTTAATGTATCTATTAGGTTCAAATCAATCTGTAAACTATTTGATCATCTTTAATAATATATAAGTTGAACCAATTAAAGTAGGATCAGTTACCATGATTGATGTAATTATCACTAAGATACTTGTTACCAATCACGTAATTGTAAAATTTCAAATGTTACTTTATATTCATTATAGTTTCTTTGATTGGTTAGAGATTGTAGTAAGTTATTATTAGCGCTATACATTTCGAACAATCTGGTCACACAGATATACTGTTCAGGGCATTTTTATATGAAAATTAATAAAGGTCAAACAAATAAAAGTACAATTAATATAACAAAGAGAGGGGGAGAAAGAATAAGAAATTGTCGTGTTATCCTAGGCCATAGAATGACTTAAGGATTATCAAGGTAAATTCAAGGTTACGACAAATTGTTTTTCTACACATAAGGGGGGTTTAAATTTACGAATAGCCAAGGCTTCAATAAACTTGAGAATTCGTTCTTGACAATTTCTATACAACATTCTAAATGTTGTATGAATGTTAATTTTGTGCCCCGTCTCAATTATATGTTTTGCTAACGATGAGCTTGGTTTTCTACCTCCTACATTGATCGGACCATTTGACATACATTAATTTCGAAGTCATCTAGGCACATGTTCATTGACCCTTGATTGCATTGTTCGATTACTCCTCCCTATGTATGTGTGGCCACACAAACATGTAAATTGGTAAATACAATGGGATGTGACGCAATCATTAGTGCATTGTTTGGGTCTATTAGGAATCATGACCTTAGACTTTTCAATCACTACCAACTGTGCAGCAAAATACGTATTCTCGATGGCTGCTTTCAATCTCTGCCTCAAAACTATACTGTTAGATTCGCCTCTATATGGTAGATTGGTATACACTTTTTTCTTTGGCACTGAATAAATTAGAGGTCTTGGTATTAACTAACTTTTGCACGTATTAATAAACTTGAGTGGATAACCATTTACTATTAATGTGTCAGTCAGTAACTTTTCATCTTTTCCCATCATGTCAGAGGTACATATTCTTCGAGTCCTCTTAAAGAGGCACTTAACCAGACCTCTCTTGTATTGCAAAGGACAGAAGCTATGGAAATTTAAGTATTGTCCCGTCCAAGTTGGTTTCCTATACACTGACCGTCTAATAGTGCCATCATCCCTTCAACTTAAATGTATGTCTAGAAAGGCTAATTGGCCATTACTTTCTGATTCATGTGTCATCACAATATCGTTTTGAACACCATTGAGTTTATCCAATAATCGGTAAACATCAAAATCTTTATCACATATAATTAGGATATCGTCCATATATCTTCTATATAGAGTTGTCTCTCATGGGGCACAAAATTAACATTCATACAACATTTAGAATGTTGTATAGAAATTGTCAAGAACGAATTCTCAAGTTTATTGAAGCCTTGGCTATTCGTAAATTTAAACCCCCCTTATGTGTAGAAAAACAATTTGTCGTAACCTTGAATTTACCTTGATAATCCTTAAGTCATTCTATGGCCTAGGATAACACGACAATTTCTTATTCTTTCTCCCCCTCTCTTTGTTATATTAATTGTACTTTTATTTGTTTGACCTTTATTAATTTTCATATAAAAATGCCCTGAACAGTATATCTGTGTGACCAGATTGTTCGAAATGTATAGCGCTAATAATAACTTACTACAATCTCTAACCAATCAAAGAAACTATAATGAATATAAAGTAACATTTGAAATTTTACAATTACGTGATTGGTAACAAGTATCTTAGTGATAATTACATCAATCATGGTAACTGATCCTACTTTAATTGGTTCAACTTATATATTATTAAAGATGATCAAATAGTTTACAGATTGGTTTGAACCTAATAGATACATTAAAACAATGAATCATATTAAAGAATATCAATTTAATAATAAAGTCTTATTATCATTCATTATGATATTCTGTTTATTTATATATAATGCAATTCATTTCACTTATTGGAATGTGGATTTTACAACTTATTCAACTAACTACAATGAAATCCATGGTAAGTTATATTATGATAAAGTAATAGTTAATAAAAATATGTTTATCATCAGAGAGGGATACTTATGAATATTATAGTAATTTCAATAGTTCAGATCATGAATCAATTGAAGCTAGACTAACAAGGAAAAACCTAGAAGTATTGGATGGCCGTTTCGTTTTAGTATGGAACTTTCCACTAGTGCACATCTACAATCTCAAACCCGGGACTCGAGCCTAGGACATTTGGCTTCGCAAGTGAATGCTTAAACTCTAGACCACTGAGCTCGTATCCAACTGTGTTCATGTCTAACTTCAACCAATCCACGAAAATGCTCGACCATTTTCCATTGTCCGAGGTAGATATCTGTCTCTACCTGACATCGATTGGTTCCATTAATAATAATTTATATTCTGAAAAATAATAATAATTACAGAATTCACGCCAGTTTACAGGCATGATCAATTTGATATAAATAATAAAATTAGATGTGCAGAACAAACATGTGATAAAAGAAAGTTTTAAGTATACAAGTTCAGTAATTGTTTAGGTAGTACTTGTATTACAGTGATCCTATGCATCAGCCGGGAATTTTTAATATTTCTTAAATGGACAGCCTGTTGATTTATGAACGGTGTAATTAAGGTCAATTCGTGTGCCAGATCGAAATAATGATAATTATCTACAAATAGAGAAATTAAAACGAAAACAGAGAGCACGGAACAACAAAAAAGTAATTACCAAAATATATTAATCAGGTCTACCTAAATGCGTGTGTCATGTGACACAGTGATATACTGTTTGTGTTATTCAAATTAGTTAAATTTGCTAGGGGCGGTGTTAACATATTGACAGCAAGTGGGTGGTTTTACTAAGGGGATTCACTAATAAAGATGGTTAAACATTTAAGGTTCCTAAAATATCACTTGTGGAATGAGATACACTTAAAGGCGCTAGATCATTCAATGCATTTTCAGATGAGCAGTATTCATCGATGCAGCGAACAAATAATGGGAGTGATTTTATTGTGCGGATAGATTGTGGTAGGTTATTCCAGAGTCTAGAAAATTTACAGGTGAAGTAATTCATATAAAGAGATGATTTAGAATGAGTTTGTTTCACTAGTGCCAAGGAATTACGGATGTCATAATGAGAGGTTTCTGCATATTGAATCGCGTGATCGGATCTAAACGATAGTTTATGAAGTAGTTTGAAGAAAAAGATAAGATTTAGTTTGAGTCTCCTCCTCCATAAAGGGTCTAGCCCAAGTTTATTACATCTAGAATTATAAGTTAAGGTACAATCAGCTCCAAGAATACGAAGTGTAAATCGTCTCTGTACTGATTCCAGCCTTAATTTATCCTTTATGAGCGCACTGCTAAGAATAATCGTGCAGTATTCCAGAAGAGGTCGAGCATAAACTTTGTACACTAGAATACGTGACTCAGTGTTGTAAAGATTTCGAGTTATGTAACCTATTAGACGTTGAGACTTAGAGGTCTGTTTTAATGTATGTTCTGTAAACGACAGGTCTTGGGAATATCTAAGTCCTAAGTCTACTACTGTATGTAACCTAGGTAACACTTCTCCATTTATGGTAATGTTTAGGTTGAGTGATGTATTGCCGAAGCATATCCATCCACATTTAGCCGTATTTTTCAGGTCATGTGGCGAAAATGAATATACTACTTTAAGATCATCTGCATATAGAAGGGGCTTACCGACACAAAAACTTTCACAAATATCATTGATAAACACTAAAAAGAGCAAAGGACCTAAGACACTACCTTGTATTACACCACTTCTAACAGGGACAGCGTTAGACAATAAAGAGTTAATTTTAACTATTTGATGTCGATTGCTGAGAAAGGAATCAAGCCAAGCAAGCAAATGATTTTGAACCCCATAAGATGCGAGCTTACCTATAAGAAGTTGGTGGCTAACCTTGTCAAAGGCTTTAGAAATGTCCAGATATAGCACCAAGACTAGATATCCTTGGCTATGTAGAGAATAGACTAAATTAAAGAAGTCAAAATGACATGTCATGCAAGAACGATTTTTAATAAATCCATGTTGAGTATCATGGATAAATTTTCCAGCAAGTAAATAGTTGGAAAGTTCATCACTGATAATTTTTTCCATAATCCTAGAAATAACTGGAGTAATATTTATTGGCCGGTAATTGTTCATGTCAGTTTTATCTCCAGATTTGTAACGTGGTATGATGTACGCGGTTTTCCAACAGTAAGGGTAAGAACCGGTTTCCATAGAGAGAGTAAACAGCTTTGGAAGAAGTGGAATATCTGGACCACCATATTTGTAGAGAAATGATGAAATCCCGTCTACTCCATGACCTTTCGAAAGCTTAAGGGTATTTATAGCCTTATTAATTTTCATGCATGTGAAGGAGATAGATTTTATTGAGTTGCTAGTCACGCACATAACTCTTGAAGCATAGCCACTTATGTTTTCTACACTATTCGCGAATATACTACTGAAAAGGTCGGCCATGGTTTTAGAGTCGTATATAAAAGTGCTATTATGCTGGATGCACGGTATATCAACATTTCGAGTTGCTTTAGTGCGTTTATTGAAAAGGAAAGTTAAGTTTTGTACTTTCGAGTTAGTATTAAGGGCTAACAGCTCCTCATTAATGGCTTTTAACCTATGTTCCTCTTTAATTTGATTAAAAATTATTGTTATTTGTGCAACTGCTGTGAAGTCGTTTGACTTAAAATAACGATTCTGTAGGCGTTTTAGTTTATTACGATATTTAGCTGGTATATATAATTCGTAAGGTTTACTAAACCTGTACGTTTTAAGAGGTACACTGGAATCTAAACAAGAGTTGATGATCAGATAGAATTCGTCGATAGCATCCATGAGACTATTACAT